CTGGTGGAGAAAATAATTGTCATTTTCCACTAATCCTCTTTTTTTTCTTTTTTTTTTCTTCCCCCTGAAACCTTCCTTCCCCAATGTCTGATCATTCCTGGTCTGGGCTTCTTCCTCCTCACACAAGATTATGCTGATCAGATCCGAAACCTGCAGAAGATAAAAGAGAAGCTTGAAAATGCATTAGAAAAACATCAGGATTGTATGTACTTTTCTTTTTTTACTTTTTTTTTTTTAAGTTGAAAACTGATTTGGTTGGAAGGAAGTAGGTTTGAGGTACAGATGTTTTGATCTTTTCCTTTCAATCTGTGCACCTCTTGGTTATGGAGAGTTAGAACAAGAATTCTTGCTTTGTTTACAGGGTAAAAAGCAGCAGTGGGGTGTTGGCTGTTGAGTATACTCCTTTTGCCACATTTGGGGCTAATGTGCAGGAGAATCTTTCCTGAAACCTGCAGCTTTGTTAGAATCAGTGAGGAACAGTCCTTTTGTCTTGTTCTTTCTGGCATTTGTCCAAGGTGTAAGCAGTGTGAGTGTTGGTGCTACAGAGTCAAGATGTGGCTAAATTCTTGCGGAAGCAGCTCTTTAGAAACATAAATAACTTATAGAAAATTGAGAAGCAATTTTAAAAGCTGAGTGTTTAATCTGGCTGGTGATTCTCTGTTGCCAGCCTCCATGAGGAAGTTCCAGGAGCAGAATGAAGCTCACCAGGCCAGTCGAGCCAAGATGGCTGAGGGAATGGCCTTGGCCTTGGAAAAAAAGGACCAGGTAACAGAGCTTGGACTCCTGCCCATGCCTGTCTGTGGGATCCAAGTGCCTGACCTTGATGGTGAACCAGGTGTTGCCATTAATAAAATAGGTGTTGGGTGCTGTGTGTGCTGAGCCTGCCTGCATTGCAGAGGGAAGGGAGCAGGACTGGCCATAGTTCTGGTGGCTCTTGCTGGGCTCAAAACATTCTGCTGAAAGCTTAATCTTGCACTTGTGTTTGGTAAAATGCAGTTGTGACCTGTGACCACTTTTATTTTACTTGCATGAAGCTTCTCTATTTGGGTGGGATAAATGAATTCTCAGCCTTTTTATCTAAAAACACTGGCTGTTACTTTTCTGATTATTTTTTAATCATTACCATAACTTAGTGTCTCTTATCAAGACAAATTCTTTTTTTTTTAACCATAATTGCTGTCCTTGGAAGTCTGCAGATTTATTTTTATTTTTTTTCCCCTCCTTTCTTTCTCATTCAGGAGTGGATGGAAAAACTGGGTCAAGTTGAAAAGGTAATTAATCTGTTTTTTTCTGGGGGTTTTGTGTGTGTATTTGTGAACTCCAGCCTGCACACTTCCTACAGCTCAACTCTGTTCTGCCCTTTTTATTATTAGATCTTTGTTCAGTGAGCGAGGCCAGGGATTTGCTTTCATTACCAGCCCCAATGCTTCAGAGAGATTTCTGGAATTATTTTTCAGTGGGAAGTAAAGAATGATGGGTTGTGATGAGAGATGTACTTCTGTAAGGTGGAACAAGAGTTTCCTTTCTTACAGGGGAAGCACCTGGGATGCAGAGGGAGGTAGTGACTTAGCTCATCTGTTTCATAGAATAAAACTATTTGGTAGGGGTTTTTAAATACAGGATTGTAGTCTTGTAGTTGTTGCAGCTGCTTAGCTTAGTCTATTTAAAGTGTCTCTGATTATGAAGATAATAAATATGCTACTATTTCCTGTCCATTTTTAAGAGTTCAGTTAGGTGGTCATTGACTGTATGGAAATGAATCTGGATTTATTTTGAGATTTTTGAAGTTGGGTAATTTGCTCCACGTTGCCTACTGAGGCACAAAGAGCCTTGTGACTGCAAGACAAGATTCCTTTCCCAGAGAGTTGAGCTAAACTCCTGTTGTCTTGAAATGAACACACAGATATTCTTGGATACCTTTTGTTTTTGTTGGTTTATCAGGAAAAAAAAATGCTTGAAACCCAGTTACAAGAAATGAGGGAGCAGAGTTTGAACTTCTTTCAAAAAAGAGATGAAATTGATGAACTGGAGGGCTTTCAACAGCAGGAAATTGCCAAAGTTAAACACATGGTAAGATTACTGTAAACCTTTTTTTTTCCTTTCCTAAAATTTCTGCTAGAACACAGAGTTGGTGGTAGCTCTGCTTTTATTTTGTAGTCTTAATGCTTGTAGAGAGTCTTGGTCAGTGTTAAAATCCCAACAGTAGGTGCATGTGTAGAGCATTGCATAGTTCATTCCAACAGTGACTTTCTGGGGGTTATTTATTATTTAGTTGAGCTCATAACTTAATCAGAGAGACAAACCTCCATGAGAAGACTCTAACATAAACGTCAAAGATAACATTCTAAAATTTAGCTTTTGAAAAAGGAAGAATCTCTGAGCAAAACAGAGCAGGAGCTGGAGTCGTGCACCCGGGAGCTGAGCCACACCAGGGAGGTGCTGCAAGACATGGGCAGTGAGTCTGCAGCCCTCAGGAAGGATCTGCAGGAGCTGCAGCAGCAGTTCTTGGAGCTGGAGGCACAGAGGTATGGACGTGGGGGTTCATGAGGAGCTGGGGATGTTTCCCCTGTACTTTTACTTCATGCCCAGTTCTGTATTTTTGGAAGAGTTGATACATCTCTTGAACTGACTGAAAATTGCTTCTGGTGTGAGTGTCAGTGCCAAGTCTATGTTTCTTTTCAAGCCAATTAAAGTAATATTTGTTTAGGGCTTTGTAAGCTTGTTATGATTTTTCTTTTTTCATAGTTTGAATGCTCAACTGATTGTTTGTTTTGTTTTGAAAATGTATGATCAAGCAGTGGCTGATTTTAGGACAAGTAAATCTTGGTGATGTTGCCTACTCCATTTTCATAAGAAGCAGAATTATCTGCTAAAGATTATTTTTCTGGAACAGTTATCTCACTTTTTTCATATTCTCTTTCTGTGAAGAGATGAACTAATGACAGCTGAGACAAATGCAGAAAATAAGATCACTGCTCTGGAATTAAGAGAACAGGAGCTACAAACAGTCATTCAGCAGCTTTCTGTAGATTTACAAAATGTAAGTTTGGGTTAAGTGAGATTTAATTCCCAGAACTTCTTTGCAGAAGTTAGATTAGATATCTGTGATGTGGTTTTGGAAATCTAAGTTGTAAAGCAAGTAATTTCTCAATGTTTTTAGGCTCAAGTTGCTGGTTCTGGTTGTGAGAAGAGACTGGAAATGTTACAGGCAGAGCATCAATCTCTGAAGGTGGAATATGAACAGCACAGGCAAAAGGTGAAGTGTTTTCAGATGCATCTGCTGTTGCCTGGTGTGGAGCTGTACACTTGGCAGTGCTCTGTGAGGTTGGGATTTGGTGTCTAGAAAGTGAGGATCATGTCTTTTCAAATAGTACTTTTTCTTTATAATGGCCCTTTCTAAAGTCCAACCACAATGGATTAGGTGAAAGCTTCACTACAAAAAGATTGTGATTTCTTGCTCTCACAGATGACTTTGGAATTAGCTGAGAGAAATGAACTGACAGAACAGCTGCAGGAAAAGGTGTCTTCCTTGGAAAAGAAGCTAGAAAGAAATCTTTCAGGGGATGAACATGTGCAGGAGCTACTCAAAGAGGTAATTCCACATTTATAGACTACTTAAAAGTGCAATCTTAGTGAGGTTTTTTTTGTTTTTTTAGGATAAATATTGCTTATCACATGTGGGAAGAATATATGATGAATTTCCCATTCTTAATGATTTCATCCCCAGGGCAACACGGTCTGTGGAGGCCCCATCCAGCCCTGGCCAGCAGCATCAGACTTGCTGGTTCCCAAGAGCCAAATAACTATTCCATTTTAGTTTGATATTATTCATGAAGCATAAAGGAAAAACTTAACTAAAAACCCTTTATCTCTTTGTCCATCCTCTCTGATTCTTGATCTCTGTATCATCTTCAGAAAACTGCTCTTGAGCAGAAACTGGATGAAACCAGGCAGCAGGTACTGACAGACAGGACCCGTCACACTGAGGCTGTGAACTGCTTGGAAACACAGGTGAGCTTGGAGTTGTTTGGTTTGGGGTTTTTTTTCACTGCAAATTCCCGCTGTTCCCAACCTCTTTATGCCCTGTGGCTCCTCCCTTCAGTGCACTTGTGCTCTCAGCCAAAGGTGAGACTGCAAGTCACATTTAGTCTGGAAGAGAAAGTCTAATTGTACAGTGTCTGTGATCATCTTCTCCCCTCAGTAGTGGAGAAGGGCCCAGAGGTTATGAGCTTAGAAATTTTATGCATATATTCCCTATCCTAGGAGACAAATAGCTGAAGTGCAAGCCTTGCTGGGGGGTAGTGATCTGGTGAAGAGCTTTAAAAAGCTGTGTGTGAAGTAGGCAGCCTCTCTGAATTAAGTTGTTTCATGAGTTTTAATGTATGGTTATATTTTAGAATAAAGAACTGGAACAGAAACTACAGATTGCAACAGAAGCACTGAAAAAGAGCAAAGAAGCAGCTGCTGAGCGGGATCTGAAGATCCAGAAATTGGTGAGTATGCAGCATGATACTTCATTGACCAGTATCAGAGCAGTCTTCAGCATCCCCAGAGATTCTAATTTCTCTGTGTGTTTGTTACTCAAGTGTTTTCTTGCTGTTTGTCTCTGAAACTCATGCCTGTATGTACTGCTGCCCAAGGAGAACTGGTGTTTCAGTTTGGGTACATGTCTTATGGAGTGGGGTCTGATTCTTGTCAGAGCTGGAAAATACTGTTTATTAACATAGTGTTCTGTATTTCTCTTCAGCAAACTGATCTAGAGGATGAAAGAAGTAAACAGCAGCAGATTTTAAGTGAGAAGCATCAGTGTGATCAGAAGGTTACTGGGCTGGAGTCTCAAATTGCTGCTGTTAAAGCAGCTTGGGAATTTGATAGAACAGCTGCTCAGAGCAAGATCGTAAGTACAGACTCTGTTCAGTGGCCATGTTTGTCTTCACAGAATTATTTTAACACAACTTGCAGACCTTGTATGTTTTCTGAATGTTCTCACTCAGCACTCCTAGTCTTACAGTAGAAGATCTTGTACTTTGAGAAACTAAATATGAACAAAGTCTTTGAAATGTTTGCTGACATAAAGCATTAGAATAACTGTACCTGGTATTTAAGCAATTTTTGTTTTACAGAGTCATTTGGAAAAGGAAAATGAAAATTTTAATGTAATCAGAGAAGAGTATGAGAGCTCTCTGAAAGAACAAGAGTCTGAATTGCACAGGCTCAAGGTAAGGGTTAATGGTTAATGAGGTTGGTTAAATATGTTTTTGGGAAACAGTTAATGAAGTGTGATCCATCCTGAGGGTCAGGGACATGTTGTGCTCAGGTTGCACATCCTTACAGCTGTAAATCATCTCTGGTGCTCAGAAATGCATTTGAGGAGCACTACAAATGGCTGATCCCTTTCTGAAACAGAGTGCTTGGGTCTGCCTAAATCAGACAGAAATAATACATTCCCCTGTGGTCAGGCATGAAGAGCTTTTAAACCCTGTTAAGCAGTACTGAATACAAAATAGTTCAGCATTGAATTCCACTCATAGCATCCAAAACCAAAGTTACAAACTGAAATTGATGAGGGATATTCAGCCTGTATGGTCTTTTGACTGTCACTGTAGTTTGTTGAAAGTTTGGGGTTTTTTCTGTAGCTACTTTTGGATGCATAATTGGAATAAAGATCTAATTTAGGATCTTTTGGAGGAGGGTTCTGCTTTGTAATAGAGGCTTCAAGCTAAAAGATCTTTAAGCACTGGGAACGTTTGGCCTCTTGCCTGTGTTGCTTTGGCACGTGCAGGGAGCAGCAGTGGTGAAACAAGCAGTACCTCTTCTTTGGGAGTGTAAGTCATGGTGTGTTAGAACACCCTTACCTTCTAGTTACCTCCTGGGTTTGGGTTTAGAGCTGGGAAACTGACTTAGTTTTAGTTGCCTTGAATAGCCTCTGAATTACATGTAACTGCAGAACGAGTTGAGCAGCAGAGAGACCGTCAGCGTCGAGATCGCCAAAGCGCTGGAGGAGACACGCAGACAGAGAGAGGAGCTGCAGCAGCAGGTTGGTCAATACTGACAGTCCAAGGACATTTGGGTGCTCCCCATCATGCACAGACCAGACTAGATTTGGGCTTAATTATCATAACAATCAGGAGTGTTAATCAGTTATATGCTCAGCGTGCAAGGCAGCAGTGGTTGCCTTGGTAAACTTGGCACCTCAGGCTGTGTAACTGCCTGCAGAAGGATGTACCCACCCTCTGGGGTGGTCCTTTGGAGGGATGTAAAATGTTGCTGACTGGAAGGTAAGATGTTTGTAAGATTGTGGGCTCAAGAGTTATGGCAAGTTGTTGAATATGAACAACTGAGGGGAAGGCAGCAGGAAGTGAAAACATTTGCTCTGAGTGGAGGTGGCTGGTGTTCCAGAGCCCTTTAAATCTGTCGATGGTGCCTGGTCCAGTGGGTCCCTGAGCCATGGGCAGTTGGCAGTTTGTTCTGAAGAAACCTATTCCTTCTGTTGTTCCTTTCAGCACTTTTATCACATCATTTTGCCTCTGAAGCACAGCAACTGTAAAGCTGTAGGCAAGAGGTTGTATCCAGTTACCAAATGTAAATTCTAAGCAGTCTGGTTTTGCTCCTCTTTCATTACAAATGATCACGGTGGGTAATGTGAGCTTGTGTTTTGCTCAAGCTGGGAGCTGTCACCTGAGTGAGCCAGCTTGGTCCAGCTCCGAGGCTTTTTTGCAGCTGCCACCTGCTGGTTAGGTGGCAGCCTGGAATTGTGGTTAGGAAGCAGCCTGGAATTGTGGCACAGAGGTTGTCAAAAGCAGAGGGTGCTTTAGCTCCTGCAGCACTCTGACCTTTCCATGAGCTTATAATGGCAGAGATGATGCCTTCTGCAGATCTCTGGGTAGATCAGCTGTCCACACTGTGTTGTCTGTAGTGCTGCTCCTGCACAAATGCTGTTGCAAGGTGGTGTGTGGCCTAGCACAGAGCTCAGACAGCCCCTGCCTTTGTCACTGATACAAGAATTCTTCTCCATTCCTTTCCACATAAACATAAGATCTGAACCCCTGAGGTGTGCTGGAATCTTTCAGAGCCCCTTTCTAGTTTTGTATCTTTAATGACTTTTTGTTGTTTGTTTGCTTTGAAGGTTTCACATCTTGCTTCCCTGATAAAGGAAAAAGAGCAGCTGATTGATGAAAAAAGTGATATACTTCTAAAACAGAAAGAAGAACTAAACCAACTCAGTCAAGGTTAGACCAAACTGGTCTGCTGTATCCCAGACAGCTTTATCTAAGTACAGCCTCCAGTTCTGGGCTGGGTATAGATTGTAACAACTCTAGATTTCTCTTCCATATTTAACCTATTAGAATTTTCAGAATCTTGTCTTTTCAGTAACAATTGGACAGTCTCTCTTCTGTGTCCTTAAAAACAAACCACTTTTTTAACCAAGGTTTTATGTTTATACACAATGAAATAACAAATCTAGCTGTACTTTTGATAGATCAGGATTTGGCACAAAACAAATGCTGCAGATGAAAACTTCATGGCAGCACTTCAAAAACTGCTCTTGCTTGAAAGATTATGTTCGTAAAGAGCAGCTGCAAACCAATATTCCTCAGTCACACTAAAAAAATTAAGTGCAACCATCTTCATTCCCTTCCTGACCCCCCCCATGTGTCCCTGATGTGTTGCCATTACTTGGAAGAGGAACCAACCTGCAGCCTCTGGTTGCTCCATCCCATGGCCAGCCAGGTGTCAGGAGCCCTCTGTGCTCACAGCTCAGCCCCAGCTGCCCTGTGCACCCACAGCTCAAATCACACAAAATTTGATGGGGGTATTTTGGAGCAGGTATAATTGATAATATGTTGTTAAGTATTAAAATCACCTGACCTCCAGACAGTCAGGCTGCTCCTTTGCAAAAACACTGGTGTCAGCTTGGGTGGCTTCAATCCTGTTGTCTTTATGACAGAGCAAGGCAGAAAGGTCAGGACTTGCTGTCAGTGGGCCTTGCTTTGTTTAAGAAAAATAATGGGAAACTCCCCTTTGGTTCAGTGGACTGATACTAAGCAGGTCTCTCCTTTCTCAGATCATGAAGCTGTCTTGCTGCAGGTGCACCAGTTGCAGTCTGACCTAGAAGCAAGCAACAGCCAAGCAGTGGAGAGGGAAGAAATGGCAAGAAAGGAAATAGAGGAACTGAAGCTGCAGATACAGGAGGGCCTGTTGGCCAGAGAACATGACAAAAATGTGAGTGAAGTTGCAAAGCTGAACTGAACTTCTCAGGGAATTAACAAGTGTGTGAGAGACTCCAGTTCAGTCATGCCTGGTGACACCTACTTGGAGCTGTTCACTCTGACAACTTCACACCACCTACACCACACACCTACACCTTCACACCTTCTACACCAGCAGTGTAGACCACGAGGAGTTGTTGTTCCCTGTCTTCATAAAGGAGGCTGTTTCCTGTCAGGTCTGTGACTGGTTTATGAAAGACAGCCCCTTGTTTTCTTCAAGTCATAAAATGTCGTGAGAGGACTTTTACGAAAGCAATGAGACAGAGACCAAGGAATAGGCAGGTCAGCCAGAGGTGTACCAAACTAGGTTGAGGGGTGGTGACATGTTAGTGGCAAATGAACCAAATTTCTTCCCAGAGAGTGCTTGTAGGCTGCAAATGTCATGGTATCTCCAATTCATTCTCCTCACTTCTATAGATTTCAGATCTAGAGGAATCTAGAGCCTTGAGCAAGCATTTCCACTCTCCAGAAGACCATGTGGTGGAACAGAATGGAGAGGTAGCAGCTGCAGATGTCAGTCAGCTTCAGAAGGACAACAGAGAGCTGGAACAGCAAATTGCTGAGAAAAACAAGGTGAACAGGAACAGCAGAAACAGCTGTTCTTTCTTTTCTGTTAGTAGTTTTTTTTCTCTGAATTGTACAAGGATTGTACAAGCAACAATGAATGGAAACTGCAGCCAGAATTGTAGGAATCCTTGCCTGATTTGCAGGGAAGATGGATCAAATTACCCCATTTACAGCTTTCCTGCAGAGCCCTTCTGTGTGAGTTCAGTTCCCTTCCACTGTGCCGACACGTGGAAGCCCAGGTATCCTGTCACGTGCCTGCTACTGTGTGCACTAGACAAGCGAGACTTCTAGGTTGTCTTCAGAGCTGTCAGCTCTTGTCAATTGTTCAGTGATTGTTTCAGTCATTACACTGTTTGTTATGGCTTTTTCCAGAGATCTGTGGGTCAGAATGTCCTGACAGCAACTACTGTATTAACACTCTCCCTTGCTGTGCTTACAGATGATAAAGCAGCTACAGCAAAGAATGACAGAACTCAAGAAAACCCTCCAGAAAGAGCTGGTAAGGGTCCTGTTGATTCACAGGTCGTGCCCACCTTGTGGACACCACCTGTGTTAGATACCTCAGACCTGGATCCTCTCTCAGTGCCCAGCTGACAGAGTATGCAATGAGTTTCTCTTGTTCTTTGTTTTAGAAAATAAGGCCTGACATTGATGTTCCTGAAGTTCGTGAAAAAGCAAATTCTGAAGTGCCTAATGCTTCTGTGACTGTCACAAACAACTCTGATTTAAATGACTCAAGGGAGATAAACTTCGAATACCTTAAACATGTTGTACTAAAATTCATGTCCTGCCGGGAATCTGAGGTAAAACCTTCTCTTCTTAAGTCTTTCTCTAGAGACTCCATCTGTTACCTGCTAAGGACATGTCTATGCCAGTTCCATACTTTCATACCTAAAAAGTTGTTGACTGGTTCTGTACAATGAGGCAGATGAGCCAACAGTGGTATGTTCGGAAGTACAGATTATTATGAACTGAAGTGAAAGGGGAATGTGAATTTTTAAGAGGTGGTTATGTCTGGAAGTTAAAGATCTGAAGCTGCAGGACATTCCCCCTGCACTGCTCCAGGAGCTTGCAGAGCACTTCTGAGTGGTGTGGTGTGTTTAAGAGAGATGGCAAAAGGCCACAAGAAAAAGACATGAACCACTTGCTGTTCATCTGTAAGAGCAATTCCTTGGGCATTTGCAGCTCCTTCACATTCTCCCCATTGTGTCAAAAAATTAAAGGCAAGCAAGTCAGGCCAGCAATATACTTGGCTTAACTGCAAGTCATTTGGTAAGACCAGCTCCATGGCATCCTGAATGTCTGACTCCTTTCCTAACCCTGTCTCCTGTGTGGAACATCAGCACTGCAGGGTTAGTGTCCCTCAGTGTGTGTCCAAAGCAGCATGATTCCCTCCTGCCTGTGTGCTGGTTTGATCAACTTTTGAAAGCTTAAAAAGCCTAGGGTGCCCCAAGAGCTGAGCTGCTTCTCTCTTCTTACTAACTAGGCTCCCCATTTGTCTTCTTCCCCAAATAAGCAAATAAACATTAAAGAACAGAAAGCCAGGAAACAAACAGAAGAATAAGGTACAGGCCATCTCAGTCTATTGGAACTGGGGATGAGGAAAGGTTGCTGCTCTGCTCTTCACAGCTGTGGCTAAAAAGTCTGTGACCAAACCTAGAGAGAAGCTGTGCTGCATCCTAGTCCAGAAATGTAGAGCCTGAGAGCATCATAAGCAACAAAATACTGTGGTTTCTTTCAGGCATTCCATCTAATTAAAGCTGTGTCTGTGTTGCTGAATTTTTCACAAGAGGAAGAAAACATGCTTAAAGAAACTTTGGAGTACAAGGTAAGAGTTCTGTGCCACCTCTCACCTCTAATGGGGCTCCCAGCAGGTGGGAAGAAAATTATTAGATGCTGGAAGGTCATGAGAAGTATCTTTTCCAAATGATAAATGTAATTTATTATTAAAATGTTAGCTAACCACATCCATGCATGTTGGGAATTGTCCATTTCCTGAGGGAGGAAATTCCCAGTGCTTCAGAGGAGTAACAGCAGAGCTGTGGTTGCAGCTGAGGGAGATTTCCTCACCATCTTTTCAGGGAACAGTTTCATACAAGATTGATTAAAAGTAATTTGATTAAATTACTGTATAATTATTTTAAAGGAACATACGTAAGTGTAATGTTCCATCATCTGCACTTGTGGAAAATGGAGGCCGTTTCTTCCAGATGTGATTGTGTGAAGCTGTCTCCAATCTGAAGCCTGCAGCCTTCTGTTTTATAAATAGTTCTTCCCATCAAACGATGGGGAGATGCCTCTGTACCACATTCTTTCTTTTGAAGTCTTCATGTTCTTACAAGTGTGGCCCCAGCATAACAAGTGCTGTGCTTTCCTCTCCCAGATGTCGTGGTTCGGGTCCAAGCCATCTCCCAAGGGCAGCATCCGGCCCTCCATCTCCAGCCCAAGGACACTGTGGCCTTAAGGGAACCTGCACATGGGCACTCAGCATCTAGCCACTTTTTTCTGTGAAAAGAACACTGAACACACTCATTCAGGTGTGTCTTAATCACTGTCATTGCAGTATTTTGTACAAGAACCTTTGACACTGTTTACAAAAGTAATACTGTGCAAGGAGGAATTGTCACTACAAACAGACACAACCCCTTCTGGGTTGGGTGGGGACCATTGTCTTTGTGGTCTCTCCATACAGGTCAGCTCCTTGTGCTCATCAGTTTTGTTTTCTTGGCACCAAAGGCTTGTGCCAACCTCAGTGGTGGGGCCTGGCAGTGCCAGCTTCTGACACGTGCATCTGCTGTGATGGTGATTCCAGAGTCTGGGCAGTGCTGGGCTGAGGGACTCCAGGCACAGAAAAGCTTCCTTGCCTCCCTGTGCAAAGCAAGCAGTGAAAAAAAGTGTTGACAGTGCTGTGTTAGGTTTCTGACAGTTTGAAAAGCCTTTCAAAAAACAGGAGCAGGAGCTTTAACCAAAAAAGAAATCTGCCTTGCCTTGTGATACTGACATAACTAATAGTTTGCATTTTTTTCATATCACTGTGTAATTTAAGGTGCATATATCCTGGCTTGCAGTCCTGAAGGCTGCATGTTGATGATGATTATTTAATTTGAGAGCACAACTTTAGAGTTGTCCGATTTTACTTTTCTTAAAGAAAAATAATATTTAAAATGGTCTTAATTATAGTACCTAATACTGAGTCGCCTTTAAAACTAATCTCTTAGCCTGTACCATAGGTTGTTAGCTTTGGGAAGAAGGGGTAGTAAACCATTTTAAATTTTTAAAGCTGAATTCCAGGCATTGTAAATGCACACTGAGAATACCTTTTATTTAAAAATATAATAATCTAGTGACAAAGGTTGAAGAATATTGGTACTAAACACTCGGTATTTTTCTTCCAAGTCTGCTAGCAACAAATCTTCATGACCAGTATCTGCCTCTTTGGTTGTGGTTTTCTGTACTTCAAATACTGATGCTTAAAAACTGTTATGAACATCTAGTGGGGCTGTTAAATGTGTCCTAACTACGTGGTAAAAGAAATTCTGCTCATCGGGGTTTTGGTTTTAAGGGCAAAATTCAACTCTTAATGAATAAATCTAGGTTTCAGCAGTTTGTTTTTCTTCCTCCTTAAGAAAAGGGGACCAAGTTTGCACTTGCCTCACAGAGCTGAAGCACAATTTTGCCTGTAATTATTACCAGCACTGTGAAATCTCTCTGAAAATGGGAAGCAGCAGTAAGCCTGACTTCTTAAAAATGGGGCATATTTTTTAAAAACTAGATGTATATGGAATTCAGTGAGCAGGCTGCTATTATGGCATCTCTGGTACGATGAGGTCTGTGCTACTAACAATTCTTTTATTAAATATATTCAAGAAAATGCAGCCTGTCCTCCACTGGAGATACAGTCACTGTTCAGGTTTTACCTTTGCTGACAGGGCTCTGAAGGACCTTGGTGGTGGCAGCTGAGACTTAAGAGTCACAGCTCGTGAACAGCTCCATGAGCTGCTCCCTGCTCCACACACACTCCTGCTGTGGTGGAGATGGAGTCTCCTGCCCCCTCAGGTCAGGTAGCAGAGCTGTGGTTGGTGCTGCAGGGCCTGAGCTGGCCTCCCAGGCTGTGTTAATCAGCTACCTCCCAGACACAGGTCACTGCAGCAGCTCTTGCCTGAGCACAAGGGGCACTCCTTAGTTTAGAGTTAGGTTGTATTTATTTGAAGTTAAGAAAAACCAAGAGGACCTTTTTAGAACACTAAAGAGCCCAAACACAGTCTGTAGTAACCTGATCCATGGCACTTAATGGTAGCAGAGGGGAAGTTAATGGAAAAAGTACAGCTCTGCTCCAAGATGAAAACAGACAATCAAAATAGATTTATATCAATTGTTTCCCTACTGAAGCAAAGCAGGGGCAGGATATAACCCTGTTGGTTCTGGCAAGATTTTATTCTCCAAGGTCTTTTTCTTTAGAATGTCCCTTTTCCTTGGCCTGTTTCTGTGGGATCCAAGAGCAGGGGACAAGATTCCCTCTGCTCCTCCTGAATGCCTAATTGGTTTACCTTGATCCTGGCTTGAGAGGTTACTGCTGGACAGTGAGAGCAGTACAAAGCAGCCTGGAATAGAGAGTGACAACATAAAATCTTATTTATTAATTAACACAACTTCAGTTTAAGATTCCAAAGCTCATACAGGATAAACTTGCCACAAACTTGTTCTTAAGTGTTGAATTTTCTTTAGCTGTCAGAGCAAAAATGGTGTGTATACATACATTAAAAAGCTAATGCACTTTCCCTTGTATAAAAAGTGGTATATATCATCCTTTCTATGGCTGTTGGATTTCTTTCCTTCTGTGCTGTAAATATGGATTGTATTATGAAAAACTATGAAATTTGTGGTGCAATACATTTTGGATCAAAACCCTAATCTTGATTTCTTTCTCTTTATAGTTCTGGTTCTCTCCTCTGGGATGCTATAGCTATTTCAAGTTGAGAGAATTTTAAAGCGTGAAACAAACCCCACCTGCCCAGGGTGTGTCAGCCTGTGTCTCGTAGGGAGTTACGCCAGGAATGAGGCAGGCAGTGCTTCTGCCTCCTAAAACCATCTCTCACCAGGGACAGCTGCTGCTGCACTTACAGCAGCCGCTAAAAACAAAGCCTGGATGGAGCAGCACCTCCCCAAGCAGCTGCTTCCCTTGGAGTGTGCCCGTTTGTGCCAACAGAAAGGTTCCTTCTGCCAGCCTCCCGGGGTGCTGGGCACCACCAGCCTCTCACCAAGGGGGCTGTCACTGATGGTGGAGACACCCATGGCTGCAGTACTTGTGTCCTTCTGTCTTGACAACTCAAGGAAGCAGCTCATTTTGCTATGCTCAAGTCCTTCAGCAGTTGAGAAGGCACCAATACATAAATAACAACTTCTGAAGTATTTAATTTACTTTCTAGGATGGACAAGAATATAAACACGAAACCACGGGTGATTGTGTTAAATTCACTGCATCTTGGAAGCCTGGATGGGCACAACTGAGCTTGGTGTCCTGCAGCCAGCACAGCTGGAATAAAGAGCATTCAGGCAAAGGTGGACACTGAGCTGAGAACGGGGATGTTGCTGGCCTGCTTTTGAGTGTCAGATTTATGATTTAGCAAAAAACAAGTAACTTAATTCATGTGATCCAAGAACTTTATTGATGCAGCAGGCACTTTACACTGAAACCAACCCACAGTCCAGCTCATCCTTCGACTGTATGTTCAGAACCACCACTCTCATTAACACTTCTGCCCATAAGCTCTTGGGATCTTGCATCTGCCAAGGACAAAGCTACCTCTTAAATAAGCAGGACACAGGATCTTGCATCACCACACCTCAATAAAGCAGCATCTTGAAAATACCTGCTCACTGACAGTGACAGGAGGCAGGAGTGTGTCTTCTCTCTGCCTTTGAAAGAAGGGATCAGGAGAACATCTTGGCTCCTGTGTGTGATAGTCGGAATATGCAGGAATACCTTTACTTGCCCCCCACCTCTAAGGTTAAAAGCATTCCAAGAGGAGGTTTCCATAGTATGTCAGTAGATTGCAATCTCTAATAAAGGTGGACCAGTGTCAGTCGAGCTAATTCCTTCTTCTGAGTCCAAAACTGATCGTCGTCTGGGTTCAAGTTAATAATCTTTTAAACAGTCTTTCTTGCAGTAAGAACTCTTACTATGGAACCTAGTCCACCTACTGCTAATGCCTGTGGGATGGGAAAGGAGAGAGGTTACAGGGTCACCCGGCACCGCACGCAAAAGGCTTCTTGAAAGAGCAAACCAAGTGTCAGTTACAGAAGAGTGTGTGGCTCCTGCCCAAAAACTTGTCACGTACAGGCAGCTTGGACTGTTCCACCTTGTTATATATTTTTTGCTCTCCAATCTTTAAGTTAATTGGGGAAAATCTGTTTTCTCTAGCACATGCAGACATTAAAAAATGTTGACAGTAATTTCTTTTAGGTACTGAACTGTAGGAGAAAACTCACTGTTGTTGGGAAACAGATGATTGCCAAGTGTCTCCTTGGAGCAGAACCTGCCTATGTTGTGCAGACGTGGATGTTCCTGAGTTACCAAACCTGCTGCACAGGGACAACAGCCTGTCTCCAGAGGACAGGCTGGTGCTGCTGGCTCCTCTGAGCACGCCACACGTCTGACTGGTAGGGCAAGAAGCAGCACACAAGGAAGGTTTCAAACCCTGCCCAGCCTGTGCCAGACCTGCCTTGTGCCTTTGAAAACAAGGAGGATGAGGTGCTCTGCATGTGCCTGCACAGCCTGAGCTCTCATCCTGCCGGGCAGGGCAGTGTTGTGTAACTGCACACTGGGAACACCTACCCACAGTGACCTGAAAACAGCCTCCCATGGAAAAAAACCGGAAAAAGCAAATGCCAAGCAGAAACAGGTTCTTTGCTGTCCTGAGAAATTCCTTCCTCCTCCCCTACCAAGGTTCTGAGGAGCCAGTGCCAGCTGCTAACAGCTGGAGTCACTGCACCAGTTCTGTCTTTACAGGAAAAAAACCTAACCAAGGTGACACGGGCAGCATTGCTGCAGTGCTGGGACAGGGAGCTCCAGCATTCCAGGGGCTGCTTTTCCTAGCAGCCCCTGCAGCCAGTGCTACAGCTACAGCCCCTGCCCTTGGGAAAGACAAGACATTTCACTGGGATTCCTGCCTGGGGGTGGCCCCATGGATCAGCAGCTCCAGGTGCCTCATCAGGTCAGAGAGAAGCACGTCCTGCCCTCCTGCACTGCACCAAAACATGAGAGGACCACTCTGGATCCCCATGGAATCTTTTCTGGATACCCCAAAAGCCTCTCCTGCACCAACCAAACTGGTTTGCTCTGGGCTGTGACATGGGTGCTGCCAACAGCTCAGCTGATGAACGTTCCTGTTCCTGGGCCCAACGCCGCACCCCGGGCCCAACGCCGCACCCCGAGCCCAATGCTGCACCCCGAGCCCAACGCTGCACCCCGGGCCCAACGCCGCACCCCGGGCCCAAGGCTGCACCCCCCAGCCACCCACACCCTCCCTCCCAGCCTCCTCCCTGGGCACAGCACCCCCAGCTGCAGCACGGATGTGGTGCCTCCTCCCGTGGGTGCTGCCCTGCCACACTGCACCCCTCCCTGCCAGAGGACAAGTGTTTGCAGAGGCTTCATGAGCCCACAGACCAAAGACAAAGGCAGTTCCTGTGCTGCTGGGGAGGAGCCCCTGCCATCCCCTCCTGTGACAGCACTGGGGGACCTGGCCGAGGGACCCCAGGCAGAGCTCGTACCTTCTCGTGCCACTGGAGCAGTATCGCGCTGCTGTTCTCTGTTGGCTTTTCAAATCCTTTATAAATGTATTTCATTAACAAGTCAACGCCGTTCCTGTCTAAGGAGTTCACTGCTTGTTCTATTTCGCTGCTTTTAAAAGACGTGAGGACCTTCAGCATGGTTCCCTGGGCCTGCTCCTGCAAGGACAGGGAGGAGCAGCGTGAGAACAAGCAAAGGCGGAAAGGATCCCAGAGCAGGTTCCGGGGCTGCGCTGGAGCC